GACTTCTCAGTGCTGAGTTTGAGATGAAGGATTTGGGAGCTGCTTAGAAGATCTTGGGTATGGGGATTTACAGGGACAGGTCGAAGAAGAAGCTTTTCTTGTCACAGAAGAGCTACATCCAGAAGATACTGTCGAGGTTTGGCATGTCTTCAGCAAAGCCTTTAAATACTCCCGGTGCTTCAAATGTTCATCTATCCTCAGCTTATGCACCGCAGTCAGAGGCTGAGAGGGAGTACATGTCGAGAGTCCCATATGCTAGTGCAGTAGATAGCTTGATGTACGCTATGGTATGCACTAGACCTGATCTTGCACATGCTGTTAGTGTTGTCAGCAGGTTTATGATACAACCCGGGAAGGAGCATTGGCAGGGTGTGAAGAGGATCTTCCGGTACCTTAAGGGTACACCTGATGTGGGGATTAGCTTCGGAAGTGATACAGAGTGCTTGGTGTCTAGGTATTCTGACTCGGACTATGCTGGAGATGTTGACACGAGGAGATCGATGACCGGTTATGTATTCACTCTTGGGAGTTCTGTAGTGAGCTGGAATGCAACTTTGCAGTCGGCGGTGACATTGTTTACTACTGAGGCAGAGTATATGGCGTTGACAGAAGCTGCTAAGGAGGGAATATGGTTGAAGGGACTGGTTGGTGATCTTGGTCTACATCATGATCAGGCAGTGGTGTATTGCGACAGTTTGAGTGCAATATGCTTGGCCAAGGATCAAGTCCACCATGAGAGGACTAAGCACATCGATGTGAGGTATCATTTCTTGAGGACAGAGAAGAGGATTAAGGTGAAGAAGGTTGGCACCGCGGATAATCCTGCTGATATGTTCACGAAGTCGGTTCCACATGGCAAGTTCCAACATTGCTTGGACTTGCTGAATGTCTTGAGTGGGTGACTCCGCCCTGCGGGCATTGATGGCGGGAGAGAGATAGATGGAGCAGAGTACATCAGAGATTTCAGAGGAAGAGGATTCAAGTCAAGGTGGAGATTTGTTGATATGACTTGAATTGGATTATCAGCCGCTACGACTAGTAATCGGGGGTCTCTCTCTGTAATCTGTAATCTCCTCGATATAGTGAAATTGGCTCTCTCTCGCCCGTGGACGTAGCTAACACACATCGTGTTAGTGAACCACGTAAATCGTGTGTCGTGTTTTCGATTCTCGCTTTCGTATTCTTGCTTTATCGATTCCGGCGATTTTCCCGATCCGTAGCAGCGCGTTTATAACAACAAAAAAATATAATTGATAGTGAATGACACTCTTGAAATTTGAAAAAATGATTATCCTACTGTCATTTGTGTATAAAAATATAAATGGTAGGTTGGGTAATTCAAATCTAGAACACTAGTATTATTAATAAACTTAATTTCCGTTGAGCTACAACTCATTTGGTGTTCGATTTTGAACAATGTGTAATAGTAAAAGGTCATTCCCTATCTCTAATTATTTCAATCTAAACTAATTTCAATCTACCATTAATTTGTATTGATTTTATGATTGTACGACAAGTGTTGAAGAGTCTTTCAGCTTTGGGTTACATCAAGAACAAGTTTACAAATAGAATATGCGATAAGTTCCTGAATGATTGTCTAGTAGAGTATATAGAGAATTTTTTTTAACACTATAAACACCAAGTGTATTCTACAATTATTTTCGAATATGAAAACACATCATTGACTTTTGTTAACCTGTACTAGTAAGTTATTTTCATATTTACGATATTATTTTTATTAATTATTTTTATTTATTTTATTTTTTAAAAGAGGACACTGGTATGGAAAATTTCTGGGTCCGCCACTGGGAGGAGCTATCTTGGAGGACATCCACCGGTCGGCGAAATCCTTTGAGTTCTGTTCATTTACTTATACTCATCGCAGCTTTAATAGGGCCGTCCATTTATGGCAACATCTACTACTCAATGTCCAACATACTTTCTAACTCACATTTTCGCAGATAATTCAATTATACAAATGCATGCAGATGACAATTTGAACCCGCCCTGTTGGATATTATTCGACCTGTCCCGCGATGGATGAGTATTACCCGACTGGCAGTATCGTGAGGTGGGGCATGCGTATCTACTTCTTATCCGTCCTGCCTCGCTCCATTTTTTTTATACCTATTCTATCTCAAATTTTTATAGTATCTATTCATATGTCTCCTATTTTAACTTTTATTCAACTAGTTAAACTTGATCTTTAAACTAGTTAGATTTAATCAGCCATGCTATTATCACTATTTTTCATCGTAAAGTATTTTTCCCTTCTGTTTATCGTAAAAAGTAAAATTTTGCGTGTATTTTTCTCAAATAACATGTAAGAGTGGACCGACCCGTCCCGCCCCGTAACCCGCGCGAGTATTACCTGTTCCGACCCGCAGTAGCATTTGGCTTTGGTGGAAATTAAAATGAGGTGGAAATTAAATAAGATTTATTTAATTATCATGTCACTTATTTAATATTAAACCATGAGAGTTGACCGTCACATAAGATAAAAATAACTGAATTGAACTGATAGTGACCAAACTTGAACCATTAAAGTAATTTCAGTGATCATGAATGAAGTTAAATATTTTCGGTGATAAAAAATGAAGGGTATTGCTATTCGTCGCCCTAAAATTTCTTATTCGTCGCCCTAATTAAATTACATTTACTATAATATCCTTTATTTATTTATTTCTCTTTCAAACACTTAACATCTAAAATTCCCTTAAAATATTCCGGCGGCCAACAAAAATAAAAAAATGAAAATAATTGAAGATTCAGCAGCGGCGTATTCTTCCTTTTGTCAGCCGGAGAGCGGCGAGGGAAAACGAGGGGACCTTCCTCTTGACTCCAGCGACAGCAACAGCAGCGACCGACTTGTTTCTTCCTCCTCCTTCCCTCCGATAATCGAGTAGCAGCAGCGGCAACAGCGGCAGCAGATGGCGGAAATGGGGGTGAGCACGGGCGACGGACTAGGGGGGTTGGGATTGAGCAGGGGACGCAGAGATGGGGTTGGGGTTGGGTTATATTTAGTTTGTAATGTTTATTGACGTTTGGGGCAGGGGCGGCGGATGTGGTTTGGGGATGAGTAAGGGTGGCCGGCGGCGGATGTGGGTTGGGATGAGGGGTACATATGTCAATTTGCTATGTTTTAGGGCGATAAAATTTGAATTTTAGGGCGACGAATAGCAATTCAGAAAATGAATATCCTCCATTAATATATGGTAGAGTTTTGTGTACTTTTCTCCATTTCAAATTTCCTGCAACGAGAGTGAAAGTAGGAAGGTCATTTTTGTCTTTACACATTTATTATTTATTTCATATAAAAATAGCAATATCAAGATTTGAACCCGGGTCTCTTCAAACAAAGATAACAAGCACAACCAGTTACACTAAACAAATTTATTGCATCCTTTTTATACAAAAAATAGACAAAGTTAATCTCTGAAAATCAGAGGACTTTTTCATCATAATTAGCAAGCTCACTAAGTCTACCGTATGTATTTTTATCGAGCTTGATACTTCTATTTTCATAGTAGAGTTTCATGTAATTTTCTCAATTTTAAATTCCCGCTCTCTCCTTAATTATTGCTAAAGGTAAATGGGTAATTGGCCAACATGGAAGAAACTAATTATGTAACTACTGTTGTATCCTCGCATTTTTCAATTTAAATTTAAATTTTGTGTTTTTTTATCTTTGTTCTTTTCTCTTTCTAACTTCCTCAGAAATTTCATCCATCGTGCAATAGTTTGCGCCTTTCACTTCCCAGTACAAGACTGTTATTGAAATCAATCTTCAGGTATCTCTTGGCACTACGGTTTTATTGTTGGGGATTTTAACCTGCGCGAGTAGAAGATTTCAACTCCGATATCAATTCATGGCGAATAGAACGGAGTTCATCAATAACTGAAGTTGTAGAAGAAAGATTAGAAATTGAATGTTTAGTTGAATATATGCCTCTTGAGATAGAAATTTGGTTGTACAACGGAGAGTGGTGGCTATTGGATCTTTAGGTTTATGGTTTTTGCAACTGTCATAACCTATTTCTATCTTAAAACGAGGAATCATTGAGTGATTGTTTGAATTCTTTATTCAACCTACTGGAACTAATAGATAAGGAGTGTCTAATTTTGCGCCTTATTATTTTGATCGAGTCTATTCGTATATTGGAGATAACCCTGATTTTTTCGTTTGCTCTCAAGTTGTGATGGTCCCCTCTTAGCTGAGTTTTTAGTATATAGATGACTTGAATCAACAACTCTCTATTTCTTTTTGATTAGTGACATATTGTTTCTAAAAGGAGAGCATTGAACCCTTTATATAGGATTGTGAGGTTTAAGATTTAGTTTCAAACTATCTATGGGTTGTGTGAGAATTTCAGTGAGCTTTTATACTCTATATTTCATGATTGTCAAAGAAAACTAACCAATAGCATTTTAACAGGGACTTAATTAGCATTATGAAAATGAGCTCAATGATACATTTTTATATTTTATATTCTTAAATGATTATGATATTTCTCCGAATGTTCGACCTATATATTATTTCTTTACGTATCATCTCGATCGAATAATTATCAATAAAATTAAACAGGTTAATAAACTTAAAAATAACATAAAAATATAAATGATAAAATATGAGCATTCCGGCCAAAGAGCTGGGTTATAAGCTAGTTTTCAATAAACTCAGTGAACAAACTTACAATTTATATAAACCTATCTCCACTCTTTTCCTGTTCCTTCCTGGGACTGTGACTCCGCTCGTCTCTTTCCATTCCTCTGTTTCTCTCAACAGTTTTTCACAAGAAGCGAGAGATCGTAGCTCGCTTTTCCGTCGCCCTCCTCCCACGGCCCACCTCACCAAATCCAAACTTTAACCTTCCTTCTCACTCCATTCTCCAGTCCCACCCCTCGCTCCTGCATTCCTCTATTTCTCTGCTGTTGCAATCTCTGCGAGTTCCCGCATTTCTTTTTTCCTCCCGTCTCTTCATCGATTGCGCCGTTCAGCAATGAGCTCCCAGGGGGCCAAATCTGCCCGAAATGCTAAACCCACAACCCAAACTCCACAATCCAGCTCGAGATCTTCCTCCCTCGCCGCCCACATGGCCATGGTGGAGCTCAAACAGCGAATCCTCACTTCCCTCTCCAAGCTCGCTGACAGGGACACGCATCAGATCGCGCTCGATGACCTCTACTCAATCAACGATACGCTCTCCCATGAAGCGCTGCCAATGCTCCTCAATTCCCTCTACGACACCTTGTCCGAGCAGTCCACTGCCAAACCCTCCGTCAAGAAAGAGTCCGTGAACTTGCTCGCCCTCGTTTGCCTGTCCCACCGGGAATTGACGCTCCCCCATTTGGCCAAAATAATTACCCACATTGTCAAGAGGCTTAAAGATTCCGATTCGGGGGTCAGGGATGCTTGCCGCGATGCTATTGGTGCTTTGTCCGGGTTGTATCTCAAGGGCGGCGGAGAAGGTGGTGGTGGCGAGGGGAATCATGGCGGCGGCGGGGGGCATGTGGTGGGGCTGTTCGTCAGGCCGCTGTTCGAGGCTATGGGAGAGCAGAACAAAGTCGTGCAGGCGGGCGCTTCTTCTTGTATGGCGAAAATGATTGAGTGCGCTGCTGGGTTGGACAAGGAGGGTTCTGGTGGTGGTGGTGGTGCTCCGGTAGCCGCTTTTCAGAAGCTTTCTTCCAGGATTTGTAAGCTGCTCAATGGACAGAATTTCCAGGCGAAAGCAGCTCTGTTGGGTGTTGTGGCCAGCTTGTCCCAGGTATGAGCATTGCCATTGTTGAAATTCCAACTGCTGTCTGCTTGGATCTGTTTGGAGCTAAAAATCAACCAGTTTTGAAGTGCTTCTTGATTTGATAAATTCTCATGTTTGGTTGGTAAGCTTAGAAGTATTTGGGGGGCTTTGGTGTTGATGGTTCCCTCTATTCTAAATTTGATGATACCCATTGAAGTTATTTTGATGGTGAATTATGAACGTATAAAACGAGTTCTGGCACATTTACTAAATGATTGTTATATTATGTGTGGCTTATATAGTTTCATGATCTGTTGCAATCTGTTGTTTAAAGGGATTGGAAATGAGGAATTTATCATCATGTTTCATAATCTGTTGCAATCTGGTGGATATTTGATTAGTGATCTAGTCGTGTTAAATGTTTTAGGTTAGCACTGAAGCAGAAGGCTGAATCTTGGTTTTAGACTTTGTCATGAAGAACTTATATCCAGATGTGTTCATATGTTTTAGGTGTCTGCTCAAGTACCCTTTAATAGATTGGAGACGGGGAATAGTCTTTTATCTTTAGATCATAGGTGACAATCTATTCAAAAGTACCTCCAATTTTTTACTAAACGTACAACATAAACATGCAGGGTTATAAATGTTCTTTTCCTCCTAGTGTCCTGTTTCCATCTTAGGAGAGGTTTTGGTTGATCTCATTATTCTATGGTTTTTGGCTTTAAAATTTCATTTGGATCCCTGTTAATGGATATATCATTCCTTTCCATATAAAGATAATTTTTCTTGCATCTTCTCTTCCAACCATGCAACATGAGCACAGAGGTAAACCTGCAAAGTCCTACTACCCCTTTGTCGCCTCCTCTCCCGCCCATTTCGCCCAGGTTGCCCTCAAGCAGCAGATCGTAACTTCTTTGTCTAAACTTGCTGATAATGATACCTATAACATTGCAGCCAAAGACCTTGATTCCCTTGTGTAGAACCTGTGTCTTAGTGATCTTCCGGTACTTCTCAATGCTCTATATTCCAGTTCATCTGACCCTATTAATAAACCTATAGTCAGGCGGGAAACTATCAATTTACTTGCAGTTTGTTGTCAATATCATTTGGAATTAAGATTACCCACTTTGAGTCGAATCGTTACCCATATTGTTAAAATGTTGAAAGATCCAGACCCCAGCATAAGGAAAGCTTGCTGCAGAGCTATTGGGATTTTGTCAGGGTTATACTTGAAACAGGAGGTAGTCAATAAGGCCAGGGTAAAATTATTCGCTGGACCATTATGTGATGCTTTGAGGGAGCATAATGAAGTTGTACAATCAGGAGCTGCGATGTGTGTGGCAGAGATGGTGGAGTGTGCTGCAACCAATGACACTGTAGGAGGAGAATTTAAGAATCTGTGTCCTAGGATTTGTAGAGTGCTGAGTAGTAAGAGTCTTCGAACCAAGGCTTCTCTTTTGAACACTGTCTCCATCTTCTCACAGGTTTTAACGATGTGATATCAATATATATCTGACATCTAGTGTTCTTTTTGTTTATTTGCAAAGTTGATGAGACGGAGGGAATGAGGGACTGTCTTTTAGGTTGAGGCTGATACGTGTCACATAATTTTTTTGGGAAAGGAATGTGAAAATGATTTTAGTTACTTCCTTAAATATTGTCGTGATCCCCACTTGTATGTTCTTTGTATCATGGATCTAGCGAAGTGAAGGGTATGAAACAAAATCAATCAGAATCCATGTTGTTAAATCCCAAAGTTAAGAAGTAAAGTTATTTAATGATGATTATTTTGCATTGTGAGATGAGGCTTGTCCTAGAATGTTGATTAGCGAATACTTGACTTTGTGGCCCTACATGAAGTGGGACCAAATCCATACTTCTAAGGAGGAACGAATGATGTGCAGGTGGGGGCAGTTGCCCCACAAAGCTTGGGACCATTGCTGCAGAGTATTCATGACTGCCTTAGCAGTACAGATTGGCCAACACGCAAGGCTGGAGCTGATGCTTTAACTGCCTTAGCAGTCCATTCATGCAGCTTAGTTTCAGCTGAAGTTGCTGATTCTACATTCACGGCACTTGAGGCTTGCCGCTTTGATAAGGTATCTTTTCCTCTCATATTTTGGTCCATGTTATGTATTAACAATTGCTTAAATGTCATTAGCATTTATATCTAGTTACTTCTACTTCTTGTCCTGCTTTCGCTAGAGCTGTTTGATGTTCATTTTGTGCGCCTTTTCTGGTTTCCCATGCTTGTGTTATTCAACTCATCTTGTGGGTTTCTGATACAGTGATATCTTCCCTACATTTGCAGCAATGTTTCAGCAACTCATCTCAATGTCTCTGTAGAGAAAATTATGGAGAAATGAATTACAGCAGTATAGATAATATGAATATATACAGTATTGCGACATCAAGGGAATTTAATAGTAGAGTGTTTCAACTTTTTATTGCCTGGAAAAGACTTCAAATGTAAGAGTTGGAAGTTGCAATCTCATAAAAATTGTTTCAATTGGAATTCCTTTCAGTACTCTTTACCTTAACAAATTGGTGGGGACTGTATCAGGTCGTGCCATGATGACTTTGTTTCGGGGGGGTGAAATCAACTTTGGTCACCCAACTTCACGCTTGAAACCTTAGCTTAGTGATGCTTCTTTTCCCCATGCCCGTTCTTATCTTATCTACTCAATCATTGTGTTACAACGTCACTTTTTACTGATGTTTGTCAGTAGAAATCTTTGTTTAACCTATTGGAATGTAATTACAGTAAACTGAAAATCTCTTCTTTTCTATCAGATAAAACCTGTTAGAGATAGCATGAATGAGGCATTGCAATTGTGGAAGAAGATTGCCGGGAAAGGAGGCGACGGAGTTTCAGATGACCAAAAAGCTTCCTCTCCAGGTGAATATTTCACATTGTAGTTTTTCCTTGTGCAAATTAACCCAATAATACTCGCCTACTATTCTGGTTGCTTGTTGACAAACATCAAATCCTAATACTGATTAGGTGGTGAAAATCAAGAAAATGCTGAATTTACAGAAAAAGGTCCAAATGCTAGGGACAGAAGGGTAGAGTCCTCTGCGATAGATCCACCTAATGGCTCTCCCCTAGGTACAGGTTCTGCTGCAAAGGCCCAATCTGGAAACATGCCAGATAAGGCAGTTGTAATATTGAAGAAGAGAGCACCTGCTCTGACGGAAAAACCGAACCCAGAATTCTTCAACAAACTAGAAACAAGGGGTGATGATGAGTTGCCTGTTGAAGTTGTTGTTCCTCGTAGGTGCATTAATTCTTCTAATCTAAACAATGAGGAGGAACCAGTATCAAATAATGCAGAACAGAAGGGAAGATCAGATCCCTCAGCAAACAGCAGGTCCGATGAGCCGTATTTCAATAATAGATACCGCACCAATGATAGAGGAATTATGGGGAGAGATCCCAAAAGCCGAGCGTTTGATGATGAACGGAGTGATTACAACAATAGGGGGGAGACAGTCGGAAATCGCGCTGCAGGTCTCTCCAAAACTGATGGACAATCGGAAGGATCCTTGGCAAATAGTAGAGGGAATTGGTTGGCAATTCAGAGGCAGTTACTGCAACTAGAAAGACAACAGACGCATCTTATGCATATGCTTCAGGTATTTATGTTGAACTTTTGACCAAAAGATTATGTTGTCATAACATAATTTTCGCTGTAACTGCTGCTTTACATTTTCAGGATTTTATGGGTGGATCCCATGATAGCATGGTGACCTTGGAAAACAGAGTTCGAGGTCTTGAGAGAGTTGTGGAAGACATGGCCCGAGATCTGTCTATGTCCTCTGCTCCTAGGAGAGGTGGTACTAACTTTTCCATGGCTTTTGAGGGTTCATCTTCTAATCGATCATTGGGAAAATACAATGGTTTTTCAGATTATTCTAGTGTGAAGTATAATGGTCGGGCTCCATTTGAGGACAGATTTGTGCAATCTGATGTTAATTCTTCAGCTGCAAGGGGGAGGAATCCTCACTGGAGAGCAGACACATCTGATACTTGGGATTTCCCCTCGTATAATTCTAGAAATGGTCAGGTTGGCTCAAGGAGGGCTCCAGGTGGTGGTGGTTCTCTAGGGTCACCAAAATCTGAGCATGAAAATGATCAAGTTGGCAGCAGCAGGAGAGGTTGGGATAAGGGTGGTGGTGGGCCCTCTCGGCTTGGTGAGGGGCCCTCTGCTAGAAGTGTTTGGCAGGCATCCAAAGATGAAGCTACTTTGAAAGCCATCCGTGTTGCTGGGGAAGACAATGGACCGTTATCACGGACTGCCAGGGTGGCCATTCCTGAATTGACTGCAGAAGCCATGGGAGATGACAACGGTGTTGAGCAAGAGCGGGACCCTGTTTGGACTTCATGGAGTAATGCAATGGACGCCCTTAAAGTTGGTGACCTGGATACGGCTTATGCTGAAGTCACTTCCACTGGAGATGATCTGTTGCTTGTGAAGATTATGGACATGACAGGGCCTGTGGTTGACCAACTCACGGATGAAACAGCATGTGATGTCTTTCATGCTATCGCTCAGTTCTTGCTGGATCACAACTTGTTTGACCTCTGTTTCTCTTGGATTCACCAGGTATGTGTAGTATGTCATTACTCAAAACTAATAGGAAGCTAAGTCATGAGCTTCATGACTTCCTGATGCACTATAGTTTACATATCTTCAAGCCTCTAATCTTTGAAAATAAGGGAAGAAAGAGATCTCCTAGATCAGGATTTTAGGTGCGGTCTGTTATTGGGTTAACGGTATGACTATTTTGGAAAAACTTTTGTCATAAGAACGGGAGTTTGTAGTTGGTAAAAGTGGGAGTGGTATTGAGATCATTCAACTAGGTTGCTTATTGCTAGGGGTGCAGAATAGAACGGGTTAACTGGCACCTCGGTTTCTGTCAGACTTGGTATATGTCTGAACGTGAGTTTCTTGATGATAGATTACCATTAACGAGAGCTGTTACACAGTCATTCCTCTTTCAGAATTGCAGTGTTTGTCACAGGTTGAACCACTTAAACCATGTACCCGTGACCAAGCCGGTATGGTCTATCATGAATTTTGCACTGATTACTATTATATTTTAAACCGTTTGCCTCGCTGGTTTGATCTTTTTGCGGTCTGGTCTCTCTTGCACAGAAACGGCCTTGTTAATTCTGTCGGTTTTGTGCAATTCAGTTGTCATTGAATGAATTACTTTTGATTATTTTGGTTTAACTGGATCTGTGCATGTTCTTTTCAGTTGGTAGACATAGTTATGGAGAATGGAGCAGATGTTATGGGGATTCCCATGGATTTGAAGAGGGAGCTTTTGTTGAACTTACACGAGGCTTCCACGGGAATAGATCTGCCCGAGGATTGGGAAGGCATCGGTCCTGACCAACTTCTGCTGCAGTTAGCAGCAGCTTGGGGCATTGAACTGCAACAGTTTGACAAGTGAAAATCAAACACCACTCCCCTATAGCCTAAGATTGTGAACAAGGATCCAGTGTTGTGCCTGGTTGATTTGCTTGCTTGTTTGTGAGCTTTTGTTGATAGATCGATTGACCGCCCGTGTATCTTTGTAGTTTTCATTCCTTTTCTTTTTGACTGGAGAGTTGAAAGGAAATGAATATATAGCTTTATGTCGTGAATAGCAAAGTATGGGCAGTTGCAAGTTACTACTGACAGTCCAATTAATTCTACCCTTCTGGTTTGCTAAATGTTCCTACTAGCTTAAAAAAAAACAAAGTTCGAAAATCAGTCAAAAATTATGGCCAAGAGGAAATAATGCAATCAACACACCATTGAAGAGCTCATACAAGTTGCAGCTGTTGTTTCACAGAGAGTTCAAAAACCCGTACATTTAATCTCATGCATGAATCCAATAACACACGAATCTGTTCCACATTCACAAATCCACATACCTTAAAATGTTATCACAGAGTCGAGCAGCCATGCTTTATATACAACTTTACGAGGTGCATTTTGCGATGACCAATAACATAGGGTAGAAGAGATAGGGCTAGATCAGGCAAGGCCTATATACAACAGGCACGGTACATAATCCACATCATCCTCAATAACATATGATACAGCTTACTACCCGCGGTGCATCTTGCACTAATGCCGCAAACAAAACGTCCCAGGTCATTTCTGGAACATGGAAGGCCGACGGATAACAAGGCCTCAATGAACCGCTGAATATGATTAACACATTGGTCACCTGAATGAAGGCTACACATTTCTCCACTTGCCAGGATAAGCACTGGCGGCCACCCAGCCCCCTAATACCCTTGCTTGCAGGTGTAGCGAATTACGACGAAACTGCAGTCTTATCTGAGGACCTCACGACAAACCCACTTGCGGTGGCAACAAAACCTTCAACAAAAACTTTACTTGGCTGCATACCAGTTTTGGGCACACTTCGCATCGACAGAGAGATCCACTTTAAGAACATTCTTGCCTCCGAATGGTTTTGACATGCACTCAACAACGATTGCCTTGGCATCTTCAGCAGAGTCCATGGGTCCTTCCAAGATGACTTCATCATGAACCTGCATTTACAACCTACAGTTACTTTCCAAAAGTTCATTGCTAAGAAAATCCATGAACAGAGCTAACATGGAGCTGTCACACAGCTCCCTTTGGTGGGATTTCTAGTTCTCAAGTTATAGACTCGAAGGAACTCGATTTCCCCACCCAAATGTGAAGTTGGAACTTGTACTCTTCCACCCATCCAACCATGAAAAAAACCATGATGAGGTAAAATGCTAAAGAGAAGATAACAAAACCTGTAACAGTAGTCTCCACCCTAGCTCTTTTAAACGTTCATTTCTCGTGATTTCTAACATGGCACACATGGCAACATCAGCAGCACTACCCTGCACCAGCAATTTCAAAGGAATCGGGATGAAAAGTGAGGGAATATGAAAAGGCAACTAGTCCAGCAAGGGGTATGAGAATGTTCGTGAACCTGCACGGGTGTGTTGATAGCAGCCCTTTCGATATGATTCTTCTGAGCACGACTCATATGCTTCATATTAGGGAAATGACGAGCACGTCCCAGCAGTGTATGAACACATCCTGTTCTATTAGCTTCCTGTTTACGAGCTTCTTGCCATTTAAGAACTTCTTGTCTTTCTCTATACCATAGATCAACTGTTTCCTTTGCTTCCTCCACAGAGACCTACGGACATACAACCAAGTAATTAATCACACCAACCAAACATTCCAAGAGCCAAGAACACCATTAAGTCTTCTGGCAGGTAACTCAAAGCAACTTACCTTCCAATCGCGTGCTAGCCCCACCGGAGTTTTTCCATATGCAATAGAAAAGTTGAGCATCTTAGCTTTCCTTCTTTCTGAAGCAAACCGATCCTATAACAAAATTTCATGCAAGATATTCGTTAACTTAGCATCCAGTTTTGTGAGTTAAGAAGGGAAGCCAAGTATGAAGCTAGGTGTTTCAATATATATATATTAGCACTATAGAAAGCTGCAACTTGTGATCAAGATAAACGACCATAGCCAAGATTAACGGAGTAAATAACAACTGAAAAATGTTAGGTTCATTCCACGTGCAACAACAAGCATGATGTGGAGCATTCACAACTCAACCTCCTGTGAACTGTTGCCTAACCGGATCCATGAGCATATAAACTAAATGCTTGTCTAAGATGTATAGCCTCAAAAAAAATTTCCTTGGACATTTCTACATGAAATTCATGGGAGACAACTACTTTAAAAAACATACTACAATTCTGCTGTATAGAACAAACATCAGCGGAGGAAAAAGCAACCCAGATTCCCTTCTGAATATTAACACTTCCACCAAATTGGCACGCGGACAAACACTAGAAAGCACCAAGTGCTCAACACACCTTCAGTAAAGGAACTGGTGGTTTTTCTTGGCCCGGTTGAGAGTACCACTCCAGAAGCACTTCCTTCCTTTCAATGGCTTCATGAATATGAGGATACATATTCATTGCAGTCCTTGAGTGGAAATCGCCACCAGCTTCAAAAGCCCTTATCATGCTTTCACAGCTAGCTAGGTGCGCAAGAATCCTAAGTTCCAACTGTAAACCAACATTTTGTATCACCACATCTGCCATTAAATTGAGTTCAATTAGAAACTGAAACTACATACCTGGCCATAATCAGCAACAATAAGGGAGTTTCCCGGGGCAGCAATAAATGCTTGACGGATCTTGTACCGGTCCTTTTCCAAAGCTGGCTGATTCTGATGGACAAGAGACCATGATTTTAAAACTCTACTTTTCCCAATACTTATCCAAAGAGATTCATTGAGATAGAGAGAACTTTCACTTGTGCAAGAACAGGGAAATTTACAGGGAAATCAAGAATAAAACACTAGACTATGGTAAAAGGCACAGGCATGAGAGAGAGAGAGAGAGAGAGAGAGAGAGAGAGAGAGAGAGAGAGAGTGTACTTGTAAATTTGGCCTCCTTGCAGATAATCTGCCAGTTTCTGTATTGATATTCAGGGAACAATGCACTCGACCATTACTGCCTGATATATTGCTGTCCTGAGGTAGAAAAATGTGACTTTAATTGCAAGACAAGCTATGGAATGCAAAGGATGTCAGAGCAAAATAACAAGAAACTAATACATTGAAGCAAGTCATGGGAGTTAAAAATGCTTGTTGCCGGGGAAAATAGAGCAGCAGAAAGAACAAATAGTATGTAAGAGTAGGAAAGGTGTGAAAGATGTTTTTATGCAGTGGTGTATTTGAATTATGTTGCTCCATTTTTGCAAGGAGAAACACAATCAACAATATCACATCAATTTAATCTGAATTCAGAAAAAGAGAAAGGAAAAAAAAAAAAAGTGAAGAAGGCCCGCATCAAAGAGTCTCACCTGTAAAGGGAGGATGAAGTTCGATATCAAAGAATCAATGGAGCAAACTTCACATAAAGAAGCAATGGCATGGCATGCCTCTATTCCTTCTTCTCGTGTTGAAAATGCATTTAAGGCTGTTCCATAGGCAGATGTGTCCACATCCACGTTGGGAGTTGAGAGTATACTTGAATCTTCGGTTATATCCTCTGCTTCACCAATAACGTCATCAGATTGTGGGTCAACAAAATCATCCATGAAATAGCTGTCTGCAGAAACCTTCCCAGCCATGGCTTTCAATGCATCACCACTCATAGATGGCCAACCACTAGCCGTGTACATCTCAGTGGGCAGATCATTAGCAACAATTTTATGCAGCTTGATATTACGATTTTTGGTGGCAGTCTTCTTTCCTTCTTCGATCACCTTATCGACGTTTGGAACTTGGAACAATCTTGATTCTGGCAGAGTAATGGAACAGTCCTTCCTACGCCAGAGCAACAAAGTAAAATTGGCTGCATATTTAGCTGCTTAGCCTCGTGTAGAAATTACAATAAGTGGGTCCATCGTCCAAGCCTACTCATTTCTTTAAGCATAGCGGATCACTAAACAATGTTTGCAATTCGCCACTAGTCCATCCTTTGCCACTAATTTGAGATTACAAATAATGGGAGGAAGACCCTGGCAATAAATGGTATGAAAGTAAAGGATTTTTTAAGTTGAATGGATGATAGACCTAAGATTTATGTTCCACGAAGGCCACAAGAATTCACTAGGAAACTTCAAGCAAACAGTGGTCACAAATAGCAAGGCTCACTACAAGGAAGAAAGCAAATAAAGCCATTCGGACATGACATCAATGACTATAATACCATGGCATTCTAGTTGGTGAAAAAGATACAGGTCGTTTATAAAGGATCATTGGGTCAAGCACAAGACTTAAACCTAACTAAAATTCATGGCACCCAGAACACTTCCAAATAAAAAGTGCAAACATTTTGCCAATTTCATCTCCCCTTTATATTTATCTATTGTCTTTATTTCCACAATTTATCATTTCATATTTCTAGACTGCTTGTTTAGTTCTTATTTGCATGATAATTTATATTTCCAATAATAGGCTACTAGTTTGCAAAACAATAAATGAGGTAAACAGCTCGAGAACTTCAATATGAACAAGGTTCCTTCGAAAAGCAACATAACATTTACCTGTTTGCAGCACCACCAAAAAATAGTTGGCGCAACTGTGTGTCACTCCCGACATTCATATCTTGGGCATCAGGACAATACTTAGATGCCCAATGTCTGAATCTTTTACCAGCGATTTCTTGTTCTGCTTTGGCAACTTTTTCTATTTCTGCAAGATATGGCCGATCAACCAACATACCTTCAGTTTCCATTTTAACTAGCAGCTCGCCAAATGGACGCCAATATTCCTGGTAAAAGTCAAACATGGACTTTCTACTAGCAAATGGCCTTCCATAGCATTTCCATTCCCTTTGAGAGAGTTGCTTTTTCAAGCTTTCATAAAGCTGCAAAGTGCTTATTGCATCCAAGGCAGAGTAACAAATCCAGCACTCCCGGTCTTCTCTTTGAAGCTCCTCAACAGAAGCAATTATTGTAGTTTTCCCTTCAGATCCATCTTTTTTCAACTTTTTCTTGCCAAAGACAGTTTTCATTGACACCTTACCAATCAACTCTTTATAGCATGATTTAGCACCAGACATCACTCTTTCATCACCTGTCAGAGCTTCAAGAGAGTATCCACCCTCCGTACGTCTAGCTGAATTGAACAACCGAGCCATGTGCATCGTATCCGCATGGAAACCACGAACACAAACTTTATGGTTCTCAATCACATGATTGTCAAAACTATAGTTGTGCCAAACCTGCAACACATGTTGAACTCACTGACATCATCACCAATGAAATTAAAAGATAACAGCACATGAAGGAAGAGGATTAGACTTAGGCAGATCTCGAATCTCATAACAATGGGTGTTACTACATAACTATCCCACTGTCATTTGAACCATGTCTACCACCCCCAAAAAAGGGGGTGGAGAGGGGAGAGACAACGACCGAAGATTGGCTAACATGGCATAAGAGAATACAACCCTCCCCAAATCTATTGGCCACAAAAATATTCACACACATATATACATTGAAGTTAATTCAACAAATCAAAGAGCTAGAACAAAATTCTACACCAAGCATACCATAATGAACATATTAATAGACAGCTCAAAAGAAGTGAAAATGGTGGAAAGTAGAAAGAAATGGACCTTCTTAATGGACTGGTCTTCAAAAAAATCTTTAAATTCAGCCAAAATATCCTGTCCACCACCGTCAAGTATATCCACCCAAATACACGATTTTCCATTTCCATAATCCGCCTCGGGTCCAGAATATACACTGAAACATATCAACTCTCCATGATCAATTGGAGTTTGCACCTTCACATCAATATTGGCAACCTGGAAGATCACAAAAGAGAAAACTAGACTCAAGGCCCTCATTTCGCCTATTAAACATAGCTTCAGATAACTTAACTATCTTATGTTAAAACAAACATAAGAATGAGACAACAATCAATCATAGGTGGCCTTAAATTTCCATAGTACGAATAAACCCAAACTAAGACTTGTCTACTGCTACTACCATATCTCTCTCCAAAGTAAACCTAATACAGTGATACTGAAGATTGGGGAATCATATGGCATCAAGTAAATTTCCCAGACCCTAACATCTTTGGTATTGCCTACCATTCAACGTTTCCCGGTTCTCTTAATGAGACATACCAAGAGAAGTACATGTACTGCAAGAGGAATGAAAAACCAAAGGTTTTAAGGCAATTTAAGCAGCTCTTAAGAAATAAGTAATTGTAGGATTAAATAATAAGCTCTCCGTAGCCTCATCCAAAAAGTTGCTTCTATCAGAGGGTCTAATCTCGCGTTTCATCCCTCAAACTCGGCCTTTGATGGAGACCTTATTGATGAGAATATCACCAATGCATGCTTTCTTTTCCAATAGAATAGTGTTCAACTTCCATCAACTTAGTCCAGTTGGCTTGGTTTTATGCATTTGCAACATTATAGAATTTTCTTAGGCGACCCACATTATATGTTCATGCCAAAAGTGAAAATGATAATCTGTTTTTCCCCCTTAAGAATAAATATACCTCAGTATCACACGCATGGACGTGGTGCCTGTACTGACCAGTAAGCTTACTGACAACTGCTTTTGCCATGGAGACATTATCTACAACAAGAACATTACTAGAGATACTAGTAAGTCTCTTGCGAATATCAGCTTGCCATTCTTTAGCATTTGAAGGCTCAGCAGCATCAGCAATAGCAACAGCAGCGATTTTTCCGTTAGGCAACTGAGTAGCAACTTCCTTCTTGATTTCACCGAGACTTGAACCTTTGGTGGGTTGTACCACCTTCCTTGCTGATGACCCATTAGTTTTTGCTCTCTCTTTAACATTTGTGGAAGACAAACTATTTGACCATCTGGTTACAGGACCATTCGCATCCACTATCAACGGTTTTGAACTCTTGCTTACATCTACGGATGAAATACCATTTGCTTCTTCGAGTGCGATTGATGTACCATTCACACCCATCTTCAAGGACCCATTAGTTCTTGCTCTTTCATCAACAGCCAGTGAAGATAAACCATTTGGTCTTCTGTTTTTATTTGCACCAACTATTACTCCATTCATACCACCATTACTTTCTACCTCTGTTTCAAGCATCATCGGCAGATCGTAATCCCTACCACTAGCAAAACCAATGCCAACAGCTCTAGTGCTTGATTTTTCACGATTTGTGAAGGATTCACTAGTTCCTACTCTCTCTTTCACATCCTTTAAAGATAATTCATTTGGTCTTCTATTAGTTATGTGTGGACCATTCCCTTCAACTATGGCTCCACTGTCACTGCCTTTACTTTCTACTCTAGCTTCAAGTCCCGTTCTTAGATACTCCTCATCATTAAACGGGTAAGAGCTACCATCTTCCAGACGCTCGCTTTTATGCTGGGTAACTCGACTTCTAATTTCCCTTAAATATTTGCCCTCTTTTGTCCATTCCATTCTCGAGTCATTGTAAGAGGTCGTGGTCTCTAGGCATGTAGAAGTACTATAATCCCCTGAAGCCAAATAACGCTTCTCATCTCTCCTTCGAAGATGAACCACTACCCCTGAAGGAAGCTTTCCCCAGAATCTGTAAAGCAATACGAAATAAGGAGATAATCTTCTAGTTAGTAACTAATAGTAAGGCAACCACAGAACCACCCAAGAACACAGTATACTCTGAAAATTCATTGATCTAAAACCCAGCATTTTGCAGAAAGACCCAGTGACCACGCTTCAAACAAGATGTGCCAACCCAATATCCACAGACTGCATTCACCAACATCGTCTACGAAATGTAAGCATCAGAAAGAACCACCCTAAACCATACACGTCTCGTTCTAGAGAAAACTAAAAAAGAGAGGGCACAGATTTTTCAATCCACCGCCAACAACAAGCCCAACTGAGTCATAAACTTCACTAAGTCGGCACATGGGACATCCAATGTAATCAAAACGCCAGATATAAATGCTGAAACAAACCAACATGAACCAGTGAAGAAAAAGAGACCTGTGGCGGGAGAAAGGGGCCAAATAAGGAGCTGCAGAAGCGGTGGCAGTGGCAGCAGACGGGGAGGCGGTGGAGAGACAGGGGCAAGGGCTGTAAAACCTGAGATAAGGAGGATGACCATGAAGAGGTCTGAAAGGAGAAATATGGGCGGTGGAGGAAATCCCCATAGCTCCAAAAGCTCCAGCAATTTTCCCCAGCTTAGTTCCGGCGCAGGAGCGAGGGAGCCGCCCAAATAAAGGAGCCGTCCTTTTACACAGTGGCAAAGATGTAAATAGAAGAAAGGTGGGGATGGCGGGAGGGTGATGTTTTTCGGAGCTAAGTGAGGAGAGGAGCAAGTGGGTTTGCGACAGAGAGGGAAGCAGAGGATAAGTCTGCCGCCATGACGACAGAGAGAAGGGAGGGGAGAACTGAGAAGGGCGAGGCGGGGGCGAGAGAGGGAGCTGAAGCAGCCGCTACAAATAAAAGTCTAAAACCCTCTGGAGGAGAAAACAGAAGCCTGGATTAACGGACAAACCCTTCCATTGCTTTTCTTTTTTAGTTTTTCTCGCTGACCAACCCTTCATTTCTTAAGAAGAATATAGGTTTATATAATATAGTATCGGACTAAGATCGTGGTTTAATTATGATTCAACTGTATTATACCATTAAATATCGCCTATCAGTTTTGCTTTTGGTATGAGATTTTCATGTTGAATCGCTGGTACAGTACGGATTTCTAATCCTTGCTTTTTGGGTGTTCAGTCTATTTCTTCGTCGGAGCTACAGACGATCGATTGGTGGTCTTGGTGTACATTCGGTGACAGTTTATATCATTTTATAGGTTTATAGTGTTTTTGGTCACTTTATTCTTAGGAATTGAAAGTGCTACCCATTTCGGGGCATCAAAATCTCTTTCATCGATAGATCGGTTAGTATCGACTGTAGCGATTTACTTTTCAAACAGATGTAATATCCTGCCTATTACTATCCCTTTTTATGGAAAAAAATATAACAATTCTTATTTTTCTACCAAAAAAACAAGTGAGCTTATGTGTATATATATTTAGGATAATACTACTAAAAAATAAAAATACATAGCTAAAGTTTCATTTGTAAATTATACTTCCAATAAAAATTAACAATTAAACAGAAATGATTTAGTATACAAATGAGAATTGACAAATCAAAAGTATGTCATATAAATGATAATTTCGCTAAAAATAATATTTTTAGTGGTATAACCAGTCTATTTACTCTATTTACTGCCATACCAAAGTAAGGGATTGTTTGACAAGCACGTAAAATTTTATGTGTTTTGTATTCTATCAATCAATCACCCATAAGTGCGGGATAGACATTATTATAGAGGGAAAGTTAATCGATTCTAATGTAAAAACTCAAACTACAACGCCTAAATGAATAGCAGATATATGTATGAATTATGAGATCATATAGATTATGAGACATCAAAATTCCTCAAAAACCAAGTTCAATCAAAATACTTTTTTCATGGTGAAACGATTTTGTTAACTCATATTGAGAACATTATAAAAACGAGAATAACAGATGAAAATCGACTCGAGACACAAGCAAGAACATAATGAAATGCCCGAGACTACCAGAAATGACATTTGGGTAAGTTTCGCTATGAACTCCATTTCAACCAAGGCTTCCAAATCTCAAAATGACAAATGACATGTCGAATCGTCGATGACCAAGAAAATTCAGTTGTTCAAACAACTGATGCATGTGGTTGCACAGAGTACACTGCCTTGCCACAATTAAGATTTGCTCCTCCAAACTCTGCACTCTCATTTTGGGGGTTTCATGCTGGTGTTTGTTCATGTTAAAAAGAACTAGTTATGTCGAAATTGTTATTCCTCTATATAAGTTAAAATAATTTTCTAAAAGGTAGACCTTTCCTGGACTATAGGATTCCCAATTGGTAGGCTTGGTGCTGTAAAACCAGTTATAAGAACAACCAAGCGAGCAAGTCTGTTCAAGATCAAGGGATTCACCAGCTGAGACTCTCAAGATTTTACCATAAACGGGAAATTCTCCAATTGCTGCTTGCTACAAAACTTACACACAGTACCAACAAAGTTCCACAGCTAATTTCTTCAGACCACACCTTCTCCTTTGGTACATATGAAGCTTTGTTGTTTTTAACTCTTCGACCAGCCTAGAGGGTGCCAAGATGACCAAAACAAACCAACCAAACATTTCCCCATTTTTTCCTTTCAATCTTTGGCCCCTGAGATAAACTCAGTTCTCTTCTAGGTGCTTCACTACCAGTTTTGATCCAGTTGCTTTTAGGCCTATCTATCAGCTTTCGGTATGATCGTTTTCGCCCTCTTCGTGTTCGTCCAGTATACCTCCTTCACCCGGACCTTTGTTCGTGGCTAGATACTCCAGAGCAGTCACCACATCACTCATCAACGGCCTGGTTGTATCTTCCTCCTGGAGACACATTGCTGCTACAGCAAGTGCTTGGTGAAGACCCTTTTGGTGGTACTTCCCTTCCAGCAATGGGTCTGCCAGTAAATCAAATTTCTTCCTGTCTTTCAGCAATGGCGATGCCTGCAGAAAAGAAGAAGAAGGTTGAGGCTTACTTTTTAAGGGAAAGAGAGTGTTAGGAGAAACTGTTGTTTCTTTTGAGGGAACACGAGACACACTGATAGAAGAGACATTAAAAGTTCTGGAAACCTATGCATACCCAAGTCACAAGGTTCTGCTCTTCACTGGGTCTTGAATTGTCAATGACCCTCCTCCCTGTGATGATCTCCAAGAACACAACTCCGAAGCTGTAAACATCAGATTTGGATGTGAGTTGTCCTGTCAATGCATATTCAGGGGCACAATAGCCATAAGTCCCCATCACCCTGGTGGAGACGTGAGTCTTGTCCCCGGTTGGACCGAGCTTGGCGAGGCCGAAATCTGACAGCTTTGGGTTGAACTCAGCATCTAACAATATGTTCGATGCTTTGAAGTCACGGTATATCACTGGAGGATCTGCTGTTTCATGCAAGTATTCTAGCCCTTTTGCTGCACCAGCTGCAATTTTCATCCTGGTATTCCAATCCAAAGGAGCTTTTCCCTCTGGCAAATCTGTGAAAAAGGTAAGTATATATAAGTGCTTTATTTCAAATGAAGGTACACAGACAGGAGCATATTGTTTTATCTGTGGTTAGTTATTTCAAGCAAACATACCAAGAAGGTGATCTTCCAGGGAGCCATTGGCCAAGTACTCATAGACCAGGATTCTTTGGTCACCATCAGCACAATATCCAATTAAGTTCACAAGGTTAGAGTGGTGAAGAAGGCTCAACATTAAAACCTCCACCAGGAATTCCCTGTTCCCTTGAAACCCATTTCTGTCAAGTTGCTTAACCGCAACAACCTGAACAAATGGAACATGAAAATTTTATGAGGAACAATAATATTTTTCTGCCTAGAGAAGTGGTGGCCATAGAAGGCCTCCTGAAACAAAGGATGATGGTGGAAGTACTACTACCTTATCTTCAAGTTGGCCCTTGTACACCCTCCCAAAACCTCCTTCCCCGATCATATTTTCAAGGTTGAAGTTTTGAGTTGCTACCGTCAATTCCCGGAATGCGAATATCTTTGCAGATATATGTCCTTTTCCAACTTTCTTTATTTCTTCTGTTATGTACCTTTTCCTGCTGCTATCTGAGAAGTGAAAAACTACAGGTAAATGCTAAACTCTTACAAACCGTGATAAATCAGGTCAAGAAACACTCCTTATCATGGAACGTTCAGGTTTGCCAGCATTTTTTGGCGATTCCATCATAAAGAAGGGGAAGCAGAAGTTCAATTTTCATTATGTTAAAACTCATAAAACCAGGAATCTTGAAGAGACCAAAGAGTCTCAAGGAGCCTGCATTTGAAGAAGAAACCAAAATTTGTAGAATTTGGGAAGACAATCCTATAATTATTTCTGTCTGGCTGCCTTCTGAAACACAAGGGTATTCCCAAAGCGAATGCATGAAGGAAGAACCAGAGCCATCTTCATCAAATCATTCTGAGGTTTCATGAAAACCTGTCCTGAGAAAAGAGAATATAGAATAGACATGAAAGCATACCACTTTTGAAGGAGAGGTTGGCAAATGATGCTAAAGTTTTCGTGTCCTTGTAATTCTTAATACTCCTCTTCAATGACTTTCTGCTTAGTTTCTCCCCTGAACAACATGAAAAGCAACTCATCTTGACAACCTTTTTGGCTCTGATCTTCAGCATCCCAAGATAAAGTTATGAGGCTGAATGTGCTGCTGCGCAGATGTATAAATTTGTAAATGTCAAAGAAGGGTGTCCCGGTGGTCACCCTGGGAACCCTGGATCAGAAGCATGAGACGTTGGCCGCCTGCGGGCATTCAGAAACTGGAGATTTGGCAAAAATAAATGCCAGTTCCCGAAAAGATATGCGAAAAAGGGTGGGGAAGATGATCTGCTAAGCTAGTGCTGATCACCTTGGCCCCTTTGGAGAAACCAAAAACTTTTTGCTACCGGTTTCTCAGAAAAACACAATTAACTCTTCCCTGTATCATATTTCATTATCCTGTAGAAAAAACATAGACCAAAGGGAAGAAGAAAAAGGCAAGAAATGACTTGGTCAATTTGCCAATTATAGCAAAACAGACAGTCTGTCACCCTTTTATCTTTTTTCATAATTTTCACTAAATTTTTTCTCAGCCTACCAGAACAAACAAAAAAGCATCTCATTATCTATGCTGTTTTTGAGGGTTGGTTAAACTTAACAGACAGAGATGGTGGCTAATAAAGCATGTTGTTGGGTTTTTTCTTCTTCCTCTTACCTGGCGCAATCACCAGAATCCTGAAGCCATGGCCATCTGAAAAATCCAATTTTTTGTCATTTTTCCTGGCTGTCGCTGTGCCACAGGGATGATCTCCCCTCGGATGAGTTTTCTGGTTTGTTCTTGTCTTGTTTTAATCTACAGCCATTCCCCACCGTCGAACTTGTCATAGTCCTGCGAGTGATAGTTGTCAGTGATGATATTTATATCAGCTAATTCTGGAAGCAGAAATACATCGGCATTGCCGCAAGCCTGTGATCTTCCAAGAGCATATTCGTTCTTCATCTGTTAGCCTGGACCACATTCATTCATTTCTGAACAATGCCGGCAGGCACTACTAATTTGAAGAAAAACCCTCCAAAGGTGGAATCATGAAGCCTGATGAACATACTAAGAAAACCCCACAATCTTACATAAGGTAGAACTTAACCTGATCATCATTGTTCATACTAGAGATTGGAACATGGTAAATTGGTCATGTAACCAGAACTTAGACAATCTGGAGTAGCTAACATGAAGTTGCAGCTGACCTCATAAGCAAAAAAAAAAAAAAAAAAAAAAAACTAAGCCACTATCATTTGTGTAATCATAGCAGAAACTAAATCAGTAATTCAAAGATGTAGATTCTGGGAAGCAACATGATTGAACTTTTCCAATTGAAAGTATGAATACCAATCAAAGTAGAGCATGCGGAAAGGATAAATAGATAAGATCCAAGGAGAGGAAAAGCTAACAACACATCTCATGTAATTGAAGCAATATTCAGTTCCAACTATGTTTGTGCAAAAACAAGAAGACCTAACGAGATAATGAGTTCTCATCTGATGAAGTAACAGATCATCAAGTATCCTGCAAGGGGAGCCAAAAAGCTAGAAAGCAAGCAGGCATTCACATATACTCCAAAAACTACAGCACTAGTGTACTACTATTAATTCTCTAATCTCTTTCAACCTTTATGATGCATTGTGTTGCTTTAAATTCAGCAAGAGCTCTCTCAAGTGCCGCAAGTTGGTCAAGTACTGCTAGTTCTGGCATGCTCCTCAATTTATCCCCGCAGGTATCTCCTCCAATCATCTCCACGCGCCTCGAATGATCAGCTGGAATCACAGGCTTGGTTTCCATTGAATCTCCAGAAGAACTTTCTCTTGCTGCAGAAGCAGCCATGGCAGGACCATGTTTTACTGGTGTAGCCAGAAACTCCTCTCGATGTAAAATAACGCTTTCTTTTGCAGGTGAAACACCAAGTGAATGATTCTGGCAATCATCACAGTCAGTTTCTGCTTTCACTTCCACAATTCTACGGAGGACTATCTGGCTTTCTTTTGCAGATGATAGACCGAGAATATCATCAACGGCAACTTTTTCAACCTTTACTTCTCTTGACATGGTAAGTAGACCAGAAGGAACAAGTACATCTTCTGCTACATGTGGAGTATCATTAGCCTCCAGATCCCCTGATGAATACAAATGAGCAAGCTTTCTTCTCTTACTTGGAGTTCTTCTTCGTCGTGCAAGACCATTTGCCTTTGGCATGTCCTTAAGAAAGCCTTCTGATGACAACATCGGCTCTCTCCACCAGTTCAAGTACCCAACAGTAACATCAGGCTCAAATAACCGAGGTGGAATGTAAATCTTAGCATTACCAAATGGCATAATATAATTTAGCCAAACCATTTCAAGGCATTCATTCGATGGATCGACCGATAGAGGAATGTCTTGATCCATCCCAAACTGCATAGCAACACGATGCGGCAAATACAGCTCCACACAACCTTGACCCACCAGCTCAGATACCCTCAGGCATAAAGAATAACGCAGCAAGCTCTCATTAGATTCCATGTCCAGCCATTCTCCATCTCCCCTGTAGAAATCAGGAAACTGCCAACCATTCAGTGAAATGGCATAGGGACGCCAGCTGAAAGTATCCCCTGCTGAGTCCAAAGCCAGCCTCAAATCCCTAACTCTCCTGGTTCTCAAATTGTTCCACATAAATGACCTGGGTTCACCATTTTCGATGGGATTGGGCGTTGGGCGGAGCTTAGGAAATCTCTCCCAAGCCCACAGCTGGACGAAATGGAGTGATGACCAAAGGTTGACTGCCATTACATCACCATCAGGTTCAGACGTCTCAATCTTTGATGCGGATACTATCGTTGCTTTCAACAAGCTCATATCTCTATAAATGTTTGCCAGAACTGCTGGAGCAAGCCCCACAGGTTTGGCTCTGGCTAAATGAACAGCAATAGGGAAAACTGAAGCTTTAGGAGACCCCTCGGAATCACTGAGAACGAACCTCTCCAGCCAGAGCGAGAGAAAAGCTTCGTGCTCGATTTCGATCCCGCTGCACATAAACACTCTCACCCACTCGTTCTGAAATTCCTCATCGGTAGAGCTCCTCCTCTGTATTCGACCTGCAACTTCCACCAATTTCTCTTCAATCTGCTTCAATCCCCGACCCTCTTCACATGAACAGGCGAAAAATGGGTTACCCGAAACAGGGAGACCACCCAGAATCATCACATCCTCAAGCGTCACCGTGGCTTCGCCCCATGGAAACACGAACGTGTTGGTCTCGGGACACCAATTTTCAGCCATTGCCATGATCAAGCCGTCGTCCTTGCGGAAGCTGCAAGTAGAACCCATGATTGCTTCGTAGATACCGGCTCGTCTCCACACGGATTGGTAAGTCGGCGACAAGTGATCGACCCATGATTTCCACTTAGGGTTCGGATTTTGCCAACCCATGAAGCTGACCTGCAGCGGCCACTTCTTGCCGCGGCAGAACAGTGGCGGAGATGAAGGGAAGAGCAATGGGTGCTTGAGAAGAACCTGCTCTTCAATGGATGAGGTGGAGAGGATTCTGGGTTTGAGGAAATGGCCCGGTCTTGAAGTTGGAATGGAGTTGCCAACAGGCGACACCATTACAGCTTCTCTGCTCTCAACAATGGCGTCCTCCTCCTGGGGTGAAATTTCACCATCCATTACTGTAAGAAGACCGTCGTTCAAGGCTTCAAGCAAAGCTTCTTCGTTCGTTTTCACAAAAGCGGAGGATCTGTTTTCGCTGCTCCCGGGAAGAAAGAAACAAACACACAGAAGAAGGGTGCATCACGGGAAGAAGAAAGAGAATGAGTTCCCTTTGAGCAAAGAGCAAAGTTGGAGGTTTTCTGTTTCGGGGTACGGTCCGTACAGCCATGCTGAAGGTGCAGGTTTTCCGATTCTGGATAGCCTGCTTTGGGCAAAAACCGTACTTTTTCCGGAATCAGGTCCTCACCGCGTCACACAAAAGTTTTTTTTTTTTTTTTTTGGCTTACGTAGTATGTATTAGATAGGGAATTAGAGTACAGATAATTGTCACGTCACTCATTTAACGGTCAACTATAAAGGTTGATTGTCAGTCTGCCACATCAGTAAAAGTTAACGGAGAGTGACCATACATGAACTATGAAACTAATTTTAGTGATCACGAATGAAATTAAATATTTGTAGCGAGTAGTGACCAAACATGGATGTGTTTAATAAACCCAATGACAATCCTTGCAATTTACCCAATATAGTTGGAACAAAAGAACCTAATTTGATTATAATTCATTTTGAGTGATAATTTCCGACTTTATGTCGTATCAAGAAAACAATGTATGTATTGTTTGTGTATAAAATTTCGAAAAAATTAAGCATAACATTAGGGGTGTTCAAATGGTGTTACCGTGGTAATAACCAAACCAATTAAGCCTAAACTTCATTAACCATTAAATAAAATGTCTTGACCAAACCGTCCAAATTAACACGAAAACCAAATTAACCAAACCAAAATTAAATTGGTTTGGTTAATCGGATAATCAGATTGACCAAATAAACATAACATTACATGAAAACATTTATCCTATAAATCAATAAAACATAACCATATGTTGTCATAAACTATCATTATATATACGCAACGATAATACTAACCATCCATGATTATCATCATCATTCGAATTAACACATCATTCATCATCTATACACCTAATATAGTTAGCTAACTACAAACCCCATAACAAAAATATATACCAATACCTTTCATCAAGAAGTTAAAGCTTGATCTCCTACAAACACTTAAATTATACATAGTTCGAGGTGACTGCCATGCGATATTATACGTAATTCTAAAATCTAGTAGTTGTCCAAAATATTTTGGTTTGCTGTGTACACAAAAGTAAATTAGTGAATCACGAAAATTTAGTTTGGTTGGTTACATGAAAGTATAAATCATTATAGCATACAATCATAAAAATCAAACAGACTTTAAATTTTAGTGGCCACATCGTGTAAACCATTTTTTATAGCAAACCAAGGTAGCCAGAAGATTCATCACCTTGTCCATATTAGCATCGTAAAACACTATTGTATCGTCGGCGTACAGTATATGAGTGAGATAATGCACCTGGATAGCTCATCGTTGCTATAAAAGTCTTCAAACGCTCTCAATAGGTATATTTTAATAAAATCCCATCATTTCTAGGGGATGTTGAGATGGTTACCATGGTAATTACCAAACCAAACAAGCTCAAATTATATTAATCATGTAATACAATATCATAACCAAACCAACCAAATTAACCAAGCTAACGTTTAATCGATTTGGTTAATTGGTTAACCAGATTAACCAATATAACATCACATTATCATTAAGTGAGAATTTTCGGTTAATGCATCAATTCACAATTTAAATTATGAATAAAACATTACAATAAACACATAGTTATAGTAAATCCTTTTAGAAATACATGCAACTAATACAATTACCTTACAGTCAATAGAAGTATTCACCTAACAAAAATATATGTCAATAGTATAGACTTAATTAATTGTTGTGATTGTGTGAATTGAATTTAGTCTCTTAGCAATTATCATAGGTTGAAAAAGACTTTTCTTTCAAGTTTTCATCTAATATATTGTATGAGTTTTATCTAAATTGGCGTTCATATATCATGGTCTACACTCTACAAATACAAATATACAGCATAGGATCAATATTGAGATTTATTGTTGATGAACCTAAAAGGAAGGAATGTTTGGCTCTTGAGTGGTTATGCCAAGTATTAAGTATGTGTATATAACATATATCATATATATGAATAATTACTTAAGTGGTTAATTTGGTTTGATTGCTTAGAAGTGTCTGAAGGTAAAGTATAATACTTGGAGAAGGTCTATAAGAAGAGTCCAAGAGAAGCCAAGACCTAGTAACTAAGGAAATAATACCCTAGCTAATGGCATAAAGAAGGAAAGAAGACAAGAGCAAAAAGACAAGGCTGTGAGACAAGAGACAAGGTCAGGCACCTGACATCAGCAAAGACAAGGGGCAGGGGGACACCCTCTGTCAAAAAGGACCATGTACAGTGTCAGAAGGTCTGAGGCGCCCGACCACAGCATTTATGGCTTGGCAGGCGCCCAGACCACTACCTAACCCTCAAATGTGTATAAATAGGAGTTCTCTCCTCATAAATGGCAATCTATCTACTCTTACTCTAACTTCTCTCTACTTTCTCTCTCTATACACTTCTTCTCTTTTCTTGCTTCTGACGAGGCGGGCGCCTACCCCCTCGAAGTCATGGATGACGTCCCAAACCCCTTGGACCCGAGTGACGCCCAGTCGCCCGGGCTCAAACAATTGGCGCCCACCGTGGGGCAGGCATGACTTCGAAAGACGCTTCCCCCTCAAAGAGTGCACAAGAGAAGAGTGTGAGCGCGTCCGAGCGAAGGAGGAGACGGCGCGCAAAGTCTCTTGAAGAAGGTAACCTAATAAAAAAACAAGCAACAAAGAACAAGGGGCAAGAAGTATGTTAGAGCAATCAGATAGAGCAACTCTCGAGAAAATGATGAGAAGCTTAACAGGGCACGACGCCTATTAAAAGCTCGGAGGGTGGCGCTCAACAAACAAGAAAGAATTCGCAAAAGGAAAAATGACATAGAGTAACAAAGACTGGGAGGCGCCTCCCCCGATTAAAGAAAAGGCGCACGACGACGCCGCACCTGATTCAAAAGATCGCAAAGGGTGACGCCTAAGAAAGACGAAGTGAAACTTACCTACGCAAGATTAGAAGGCGCCTAACGAATTGAAGGAACGATGCCTGAAAAAAAAACAATAATTTTAGGAACGAGGACGCGGAGGCGCCTCCCCCGATTGAAGAAGAGGCGCACTGCGACGCCGCCCCTGATTAAAAAATCACAAAGGGTGGCGCCTAGGAAGAAAGAAGGGTGGCGCCTACAAAAATTGGGTACAAAATAGAGCTACCTAAATCGCAGGGGTGGCGCCGGCCAAGGAGAGCACTTAGAGGCACCGAAAAGAAGGGGAACGGTCAAGTTGGGAGGGGAAAAGAGGAAAATGAGAAGGAGGAGCTTAAATAGGAGGAGCAGAGAAGGAGGCGCACGGTTTCCAAAGTGGGCCGCCCCCAAAGCCCAATCTACCCTACCTCTCCCAAAAATTGCCTACCTTAAGCGCTTGAGGTGCCTCCTCGCCAAACTCGAAAGGAAACAAAGATGAAAGATGACAGACATTCAATGACATCTCTCAGAAAGGGCTCAATCGGTGGAAAATGAATAATCGAAGAGCCACCTCTACATTCAAGGTTGCAGCAGGTGACAGGCACCTGACAAAAGGAAGAGGCGCCAGAGACAAATGACTTGACATTATTTGACAAATGCAGTCTAATGCAAATATTGGAAGAGCCAAACCTAACCTTGCAAGTCCAAGTATCCCTCGTACGAAGGGAAGACCGATCATGAGGATCACATAAAAGAAATTTTTTCGGAAGATGCAGCTACATATCCTTTACAAAGTGTCTCCCTCTACCTTCACCGAAAGATGCAGGCATGCAACAATTGTGGGTCAAAACGAGCAGACACTGACAATGATCTCCTTGGTCAATCTAAAAAAGAAAAAGAGCCTCCACCACAACATGGCGTGATGTTTTGAGGATATCGTTTACCCTGCTTAGACAGATGGAGCTCATATAGCTCGCTTCCTCCGTCGAGGATAAGCTAAGCGCGGTATTTCCTTTTCAGGAGCGCTGGTGCAATGCTTTGGGGAGCACCACCAACGGTTAAGGGTGTTGAACCCCACCGCTTTCTTTCCCGCAAACACGGAAGAGTCTTAGAGCTTGTGCTCAACTCTTTAGTTGAATGTCGGGCGCCTGGATAACAGGTCCCCATGAGAGGCGATGTCCCCAACACATCCCTCGAAATTTCCCTGCTTAGATAGATGGAGCTCATATAGCTCGCTTCCTCCGTCGAGGAGAAGCTAAGCGCGTTATTTCATTTTCAGGAGCGCTGGTGCAATGCTTTGGTGAGCACCACCAACGGTTAAGGGTGTTGAACCCCACAGCTCTCTTTCCCGCCAAAGAGTAAGAGCCTTAAACTTCCGCTCGACTTTTTAGTTGAGCGTCGGGCGCCTGGATCCCAGGTCCCCATGAGAGGCGATGTCCCCAACACATCCCTCTAAATATCCTTGCTTAGACAGATGGAGCTCATATAGCTCGCTTCCTCCATCGAGAAGAAGCCTGGCACCGCACTCCTTTGCCGAGGTGCCAGGCGCCCAACTGAAGGTCAGACACCTCGGCAAATGAGCAAGTCACCATGTGCCCCACTCAAGGATAGGCGCTTGGCTGAAGGCGCCTGGCTGAAGGAGTGAGGTGTCTGGCGCCCCACTGAAGGTTAGGCACCTCGCTGAAGGAGTGTGGTGCCAGGCGCCTCGCTAAAAGAGTGAGGTGCCAGGCGCCCAACTGAAGGTCAGACACCTCGGCAAAGGAGCGAGTCTCCATGTGCCCGACTCAAGGTTAGGCGCCTGGCTGAAGGAGTGAGGTGTCAGGCGCCTCGCTGAAGGAGTGAGGTGTCAGGCACCCTATCAAATGTCAAACACCGCGACAAAAAAGCGAGTCGCCATGTACACCGCTGAAGGTTAGGCACCTCGCTGAAGGAGTGTGGTGCCAGGCGCCTCGCTGAAGGAGTGAGGTTCCAGGCGCCCAACTGAAGGTCAGACACCTCAGCAAATGAGCAAGTGAGGTGCCAGGCGCCCCACTCAAGGATATGCGCCTGGCTGAAGGAGTGAGGTGCCAGGCGCCCCACTGAAGGTTAGGCACCTTGCAGAAGGAGTGTGGTGTCAGGCGCCTCGCTGAAAGAGTGAGGTGACAGGCGCTCAACTGAATGTCAGACACCTATGTAAATGAGCGAGTCGCCAGGAACCTCACCGAAGGGGTGAGGTGTCAGGCACCCTATCAAATGTCAAACACCGCGACAAAGGAGCGAGTCGCCATGTACACCGCTGAAGGTTAGACACCTCGCTGAAGTAGTGTGGTGCCAGACGCCTCGCTGAAGGAGTGAGGTGCCAGGGGCCCAACTGAAGGTCAGACACCTCGGCAAATGAGCAAGTCACTAGGCACCTCGTTGACTATGGGTCTTAAGGCAACAAACGACAAGTTGGGTGACAAATGCTTACCAAAGACATAAGCGAAGGAGTGAGGCGCCAGACACCCCACTGAAGGTCAGGCACCTCGCTAAGGAGTAAGGTTTCAGGCGCCCAACTGAAGGTCAGACACATCGGCAAAGGAGCGAGTCGCCATACATCTCGTTGACTTTGG